TGCACACACACACACACACACACACACACACACACACACAACCTGCTCTGAAGATTTCCTATTGCATGCATATTTATGAGTCGCTTGGGGATCAGAGCACTCCAGCTGACATGCTCACAATTTAGAGGATGCGAGGCAAATATCTTAATTACAAAGTCAACGTTAAGAGCTTTCCCCGAAGAGGCCAGAACAACAAGAAGACGCTAACAGGCTTATCAGCCACTTTTATGGCGTAAGCACAAAGCAGTAGATAAAAATACTTTCCTCGTCTAAAGAATTAACTTAAGTAAACTAAATAAAATATATATAATACAAATATATAAAAGAAATTTTAAGTATCAAGTATACGCCGTGTAAGACCAACAATAAATTTTAATTATATGCAAACTTAATACGCATACGCAGCTTAATAATGCCCGCCTTAATAATGCCATCTGTCTTTGATTTTCCCGTAAATATTCAACATTTATCTCCTAATAGCATTTGACAGTTTGTTTGCATTAACGTTGTCTCAAATTAACTCGTAAATGTTGTCGGCTTCACCAGAAAAACTTGCTACCATTATTTGATTTCTGTTTTTCTCCTTTGCCTGCGATTCGCACTCATTTTTTATGGATTGATTTTATTCATTTATTGTGCGTGGCTATAAATCATATAATTTGCTTGATTATATATTTTATTTATGTATATATTTCTATATATGTATATGTAACTCATTTAAACTTCATCAATTGTCCACATTTAATTGTGATTTTTTTTTAAATCTTAATTTTCATTTAGTTTCTCTTATAATTGCAAAATCTTGTTTTTAGTAGAAGCGTGATTTATTTATTGTAAGCTTATTTAATTAAATTGCATGTAAACAAAGCGATTTGCTTAAAAGCTGAGCAAAACGAGGGTTGCTACTGAAGTTTTCATAGAATGTGTCGCTCATGAACTGACTCATAAATCATTCATAAATCGATGGCATAACTAAGTTCAATAGAGAGCCTCCTTTGTTTATCGAAACATTTCAACAAGTTAACTAAATATTGACTTTATATACTCATAACACTAACAGGCAGACAGCCCTCGCATTTAACTCAATGCACATTTCCGTAGGACGTGCCTTCAATAGGTCTGTGTGTACACCTACATTAGTGTATGCATCAACAAGTATTATTATTAATATTTTGATATTTGTTTGCATTTGCAAACATTGAATTCAAGCTGCACGCTAGCCCCGAGGTCCGAGAGTCTTACGAGCTCGACACGCGACGCTTAAACTGAGGTTAGGTTCAGATTTGGGGGATCAGAAATATACGATTCTGTTTATTGTTATTGTTATTGTTATTGTTGTGGCTGTTGTTTCGCTTACTGTTTGCATTTGGTGACATTGGGAGCTTATCAATATAAGCTGCGCGGGTTTATGTAATTATATGTTATATACTTACATATTTTATTTAATTGACGTAATCGAAAGGTTATTTGGGCGGCAACGACAATAACAATAACAAAATAAAACAGCAACCACAACAACAACAACTCGTGCATTCGCAAATATTGCAGTCATAAAATTAGATAATAAGCTTAATGGTAAATAAAGAACCAAATATAAGGGGTGATAGCAGAGATCAAGCAGATAAGCTGTCTAAATATATATAAAAAATATATAGACAAATAAATGAAAACAAATTTAATATATATTCATAAAAACAACAAAAACGTACAATTTATGCAAATAAATAACATTTGTCTTGAATTTTATTCAAATTGAAAGCTTTTTCCGTTAGCGCTTGTTTGCTTTGCTGAACATACACGAAAAACTTTCATAATATCTAAATGAGTGAGCTTTAGCCCGCTGTTAAACTTATTCAGCAAAAGCTTTGCGACGCGCACTGAGTTAATCGATAGACCATTTATAACAAAGCAACAATAAAGAAACATTTGTAAACAAAAGTAAATAATAATAAATGTAAATCCAAATGGATATAAATACACAACATACATTCACAGCACGTTAATTTTTTTGCATTAGCTAAGCACTGTTTGAGGCCATTGAAAACAACAGCTGTTTGCATGCGCAGCTCACTTAACGCACAAAACGCAGCTGAAATATTTCTTACGTTCAACGTAATGCGCGCTCTTAAAGTTGCTTGCGCTCTCTTAACTATTGACACAAACGCTGTAAAAGCTTGGACCACATTCCAATATGCATGATCTGGCATTTTGTTTACGCTACAAGCTAACATACTCTCTCTCTCTCTGTCTCTTGCGCTCTGCTTTTCTGGTTGTAAACGTAAACAAGCAGCGACGCCGACTGCGGCTCGTGTAAAAAACTTGTCATTTCGGCATGAATTCGATATGCAGCTTATACAAGCGCAACGAAGAGTGCCAAAGCACTAGGGAGAGAGGGATCAGAGGGAGCAGCTGAGCGGCCGGCTAAACAGTGAATCCTATGACTCTGCCAAATTCTACAAAAAAGAGGGGCGCGGCTGACCGAATTAATGTAAGAAGACGCAGCACA